CAATAGAAAACTAATCTGCAGAATTTGAAGAGTCAAAAACAACAAAAACATAATTAGTTTTACTTTGAAAACTTAAAATATCATGAGACAAAAAGATCTCTCTAAAAAATCATTTAATATGATACGGAAGGAATATATTTTACAGCTACGGTAGCACAAAGATGAACTTCTCGGCCATTTTATCTTCATCTGCTAAAAGACATCAAATATTTACAACAATAGTACTGTAGTATTTGGTGGAATATACAAATATAAATTATTTTAATATAAGAATTCTGAATATAATCACACATTCTTATTAGTAGCTAAATATCTAAACTATATTCAGCTACAACCGGTTAAATGCTAACCGTCAAACGACAAATGATTTATAACGATTTCTTATCTTCTTGCCATTTTTTCATTTATCTTTTTATATGTTAAAACAGAAGTCATTTGACAATTCTCTGAAAGGCTTGTTACTTTTTTTTATAAAAAATCATTATTTTTGCCAATAATAATTAGCTTTGCCATTAAGTTCTTGATGCCTCCAAAAATGGCAGATGTGTTGCATCTAATCTTAAACCCAAGGTTATCACAATGACAACACATAATTCAGGCGAACTTAGCAGTCGTGAAATCAAACTAAGCGGTTCCACGGCTCATGTCTCCTCCTCCTCCCTAGCCATGCTTTTCCCTTTTGTCAGACTTATTTATTGATGATTTTTGTAACCTTGTATACAGCCACACTTCTCTTGAATACCACGTAACCATGACCGTTTTTAGCATTTGCGAGAAGAGCGGTCGAATGGAATGGAGTCCGACCGCTCCTCTTATATTTTAAAAAATAAAAGTATTTTTATCATAATGACATGCGTTTCATAAAAGCTTTGAACAACACTTAATAGGTCGAGACGGTCTTGCACAAAACATTAATTAGGCTCTTATATTTGTAATGTAACATAATCTATGTTTGTCAATCTGATTTTTTTTTTTTTTTKAAGAAGGGGTCAATCCGAGATTTTATTACTTAATTTCTCTTTTACTACCATAACTTTATTTTCGCTCAAACGAGGTCGACGTCTTTGGGATAAAAATTACTAATATCTTTGCCTTTTAACAATATTTGTCATGAGTGTGTGATATTTCATCGAGCATTTCATGCAAACATAAATTGTGTTCAGCCGATTTTTTTTTTTACAATATCCACTCTAGAAGTAGAAAGAACTGACCCCTACGAAATCTTTAAAAAAATCATACCAAGCTTATACTTATACTATGTACTAATTTCTTGTGGTAGATTAGTTAAATTCTTTTAATCGACTCCAATGACATGAGTTAAATTCTGATCCAACTTTTTCAATTAACGGTGCCCGTTTTACTTTATCTACTTTCGATGTAATCAATTGCCACTTCTCACATAATAATTGTTATTTGTTCTCAAAGTATTTAACGTTTTTTCCTCTGTTTTATATATTACAATTATTTAGTTTTTGTACCTAAAAATTACAAATTGACTTCAAAAGCAACCAATCAACTGGCATAAGTTAGCCTATATATTTCAATAAAAAAAATACATTTAAAAGAGATAAACTATATAGGAAAATGAGATCGTTTGTTTAACATACTTTGAAAAATATGTTATACTATCAAATTGTTGAAACTTCAATACGCCGACTTCAATTTGTCAGAATAGTCTTTGTCTGAAAATAAGAAATTAGAGTTAATAAGTAAAATAATATTTTCTGTAAATAATAAAGATTAATTCAAACTTACCATTATTGTTTGGTTAACATACTTTGAAAAATATGTTATACTATCAAAACGCTATCAAATTGTTGAAACTTCAATTTGTCAGAATAGTCTCTGCCTGCAAATAAGAAATTAGAGTTAATAAGTAAAATATGTTTTTCTGTAAATAATAAAGATTAATGCAAACTTACCATTGGCTACGGAGAGCAAACATAAATAGGTCTCTTATGTATTCTACTAAAGCTTCTCGTAAGCCTTCCCCAATTTCTGACAAAATGATAAAACCAAGAAATAACAAAAAAAAAAAGTTAAAGAATTATTATCTTTTAGTATGAAATTAAATAACCAAAAGACTTTATACCTGTGACAATTGTCATAAATAACTGAAGGACAAAGGTCATAGCTTTTTGACAAAGAGTGTCTTCCACCACTTGTGGTCTTGAAATCCTTAGTGATTCCATTAAAGACAAATGATATAAAGCCAAAGCTTCATCAGATATCATCTGTTTAATATACTGATGAGAAAGATATTTCCCACATCTTGGGTATGGACACACCAACTCCAAATCTCCATGAAGGATTTTTTGTTCTATATCAACTACACACACACAAACAGAAAACATTAGATTTAACTAGCCATTAAAGCTATTTTTAGAATCATATAAATCAAATTAAAAATATGAGAATAACCTCTAAAGCAATTCCAGCATAAGTGATGACCACAACCAATATTTCTGCAATTCTCCCATTCGTTGCACGTACGGCATAGTGTCTAGCACATGCGGCAAAGTACAAAAATCAGTATACTATTTGCTAACTAAGAATATTTACCACAACTTATACACAAAAGAAATTAACCATTTATTTACCCAAAAAGAAAGAAAGAAACTAACCCTTTTAACGTCATGCTCAGGATCATCCACAAAGCAGGTAGATATAGACAGGTACTCGTAAGATCTCAAGAAATCATAATTAAATTTTGCCTCGTCCCACTTGTACCTAACCAGCAGAACCGTGGCTTTATCTTCAGACATTCCAGTCCTAGCAACTAGTCTTCTTACTATGTCAGAGTAATTGTTTTCTTCCTCCAATATCTCCATAGTGACTGAACAAACCCTACTATCGAGAAAATATATATATCACTATCAAGGGGACATAGAACAGAAGCATTAAAAACTAAAAAGCAATTGACATAATCCACGTAGGAGAGATATCCATAATCAAATTAGAGCTAATTAGATTCGGCGAACCAAATAATGAGAGAGAACCAACTAAAGATTCGGGCAATTTCAATAACAATACTAAATAGTATTGACATAAAGCAAAAAAAAAAATAGCAATTGTCATAATTCATCCACGTAGGAGAGATAACCATAATCAAATTAGAGCTAATTCGATTCGGGCAGTTTCAAGAACCAACTAAAGATTCTCGGAAAATTTCCAGAACCAACTAAAGATTCTCGGGCAATTTCAAGAACAGTACTAAAGAATCGGAATAGGAGAAAGAGAGAACATGCAAATAAACTAGAATTACATGTCACAGATCATACAAAACCAAAACCGAAACCGAGAAAAGCAATTGACATAATCCACGTCGGAGAGATGCGACGAGAAGAAACAGAGAAGAAAACTCACGAAGGCTCCGAAAAATCCGGCGACGAAACTGCGAAAGTTCTCCGAAAGATTCGGCTCTGATAACGACGAAACTCCGATAGCTCTCCGATAACGACGAAACCCAGAAAGATCCGGCGACGAAACTCCGATAGCTCTCCGATAACGACGAAACCCAGAAAGATCCGGCGACGAAACTCGGAAAATTCTCCGATAACGACGAAACCCAGAAAGATCCGGCTCTGATAACGACGATATTCCGAAACTGATTTATCGCAAACAAGTACAGTATTTATTAGAAAAATACTAAATTTTGCTTTTACTATGAACTATTAATTTTAAAGAAAATCATAGATTTCTGTTTTATGTTAAAATCACCACAAATCAATAGTTTTAGATGTTTTTGATTTGCCTTAGTTATAATCATTTTAAATAAGAGTGTATTAAAACATGAGATTATTACCAAAATTGTCATTTCTTAAAAAGAATCTATTATTTCATACACTTAAAAAAAAATACCGCAAATCACTATTTATAAGAGGCAAAATTAATATTTTGTCCTATTTTTATGTTCTCTCATTCTCTCT